ATAAAATCTCAATTATTCATCTTTTCACTTTTAGTAATTGAAATTTATTCACACATTTATTAAAAGTGATTATTGTATTCATCTAAAAAATTATAACAAATCTTAGCAATTGAAAGTGAAAAGATGAACGGTAAAAATTTTATATAAGTGTGGTATGTAAAATTTGTGTGTAAAAAGATTATTTCTCATGTACATATATATATATATATGTTATGGATAAACAGTTTGGCAATGTTATAATTATAATGTTATGCAAAATTGTAAACTAACAATTATAATGTGGTATTAAATGAGTATGATGTAATGTTAAATCAATTTATGCATAAAATATTATGAATGAATTTTTAAATAAAAAGAGTTAATTATATAATAATATATTATGTTGTAAATTTAATTTTCAATATCATATAATATTGTAATTATAATATTTTCATAAACTTTTATTTATTTATTTTTGAAAAAGAGAAATTTTGAAAGAAAATGAAAAATATTACAACTATCCCAATAAAAATTCAGAGGTTGATATTGATGAAGGCGTTTGATGCACATTGCTTACCGACTCACTAGGGGCTGTTACTACTTTCGTAAACCATATGTTCTGTTTTTGACTTTCTACTTTTCTAATTAATTTCTAATTTTGGCTACTGAAATTTCCCAGAAATTATGAAGCAGGAAAGGAAAAGAAACACGAAGTTTGTAATGTTTACTAGTAGGAACTTTAATTTGCTGGGTCAACTTCACGATCCATCATGGGTCATGAAAAACATACTAGAAATATTAATTTTAAAAATGCCAAGATAAACAGGAAGCCATGTAGTCATCATGTTCATGTTCTTGAGAATATCAATCTGCCTGAGTGAGGATACTAATAATAATATTACAAATCAAGTTGTTATAAAGAAAGAATTAATTAATGAAACACCCAATAATTTTTCTTAGCAGCTTAGTAAGACATACATATGTTAAAAATATGGCTAGGGCATTACACAAAAATGTCCTACTAATGGGCAGGACTTAGGAGTCTGAATTTTCATATAAAGATTTTGAGTTAACGCAATTTTCAAATGAATTTACAATTAAGATTTAGGAAAATTTAAAAGAGAACTTTTTTTTTTTTTTGTTATATGGTATTCCATCTTCAAATGTACAAAAATAATATTCAAAGGTTCAGAAGCCAAGCCTAAACTAGCTAGAAAACTAGCCTAAAATCCAAAATATTCGGAAGAGTGGAGTAGGCCATATTTGAAACCTTCCAAGATAATATTTTCAATGCACCAACTTACTTTCTCTACCTCCACAATATTTTTCAAATATTAGAAGCAGAGAATTAAAGTAATACGTCCTTCAAAAGAGGGTGTGTCAAATGTAGCTTTGATAACATAAAGCAAATAATGTTTCGTATATTCATTAATTTGAAATACAAGTAAATATCCATACAAAAGAGATGTTAAATAACATATATACCCTTTTGCAAATACATTACATTACCCGGTAACATATACATTATCAAAAAGTTTATATCCTTGTACGAGAGAATCTATAAAGTTTGTTGCCTTATTTTGTTGGTAATTTTGCCATTTTCATGGCCATAGCTTAATTGTTTTCCTTAAATAAAAAAGGAAAAAAAGAAAAAAAAAGAAAAGAAAAACTGATGTATCATTTCATTGATTCATTCGTGTTTCTTTGTGCCATTAAAGAAAAAGAAGTTGATTTTTTTTTTTTGGCGTAATTTGTATGATAATTAATTAAATAGTTAAGAATCTTCAAGTTTATTTATCTACAATGTTAAAGAATTCATGTATTACTTTGTTATAAAATATACTCTCTACAAGTTCGTACAATAAATTATTAGTTGTTCAAAAGAACCTGATCCACAATCCTTGGTCAAAAAAATATGTTTTTTTTTTGTTCACGTAATATTACTGCTAACATTCACGAGCTTCATCCTTTTAACTTGCATTGTATTACAAGAGTGTCAAATTAATGTTCATTATTATCTATATTTCTTTTTTTCATAATGTTACAGGGATTGCACTACTCTTTACAATTAATGAAATTATGGACTTTTGCCCCTCCATTAATGACTAAGTGCCACTTTTCTGCGATTTCTTAGCTGTCTTTCTATATGCATTTGTTTTAACATATCACAAAATTTGTCGGGGGGATAGAAATATAGAACCCAGGTCTCTTGTCCGGAGATGCACCAGTCAAACCATTGGGGCTGATAGTTCAGGTGCTTTTACATACAATTTTAGATAATATAATATATAAAGAAATTTTACATGCACGAAAATTACTTATAAGAGAAAAAAATCTTATTAAGATCATGTTGTAGTTTTAAGTTTTTTTTTTTATCTTAAAATTTATAAAAAAATAACCTTTTTTTTTAAATTTTTCATCAACTAATTTAAATTAAAATTTATAATTTCAAATTTTAACACAATTAAGTTATGCACGTTTAAGTCGGATGCTGATTCCTCTTATTGCTGCTTTGACCACGGCTTACTTGTGCTAAACTTGAGAAAAATTCGACGTTAAATGCTTCGATGTGCAAGGGACAATTGGGGTTGCGAGGCATGTCACGTGGCCCTATTTGGATTGCATTTGCAGTTCCCACCTTTCAATTTTCAACAGTGGGTTGGAGACGTGGAATTTCGGAAAAACAATTATTGGTGGTCAAATCAAAAGCGTTAAGACGAGCAAACAACAAATACAAAATGCCACCGGAATTTTCTCTTTGGAATTTTCTTTTTGTTTATGTTATTTTTAGTTGACCGTACTCCTCCCTAACTTAACTCCATGCACGGAGATAAATTCTCTCGTGTATTTTTTTGTACTGACCAGACTGCCCTTTTTTTAGCTCTAACTTATTGACCAAAGTGCCCTCACCATAGACAACAGTTCAATAATATTCCCTTTTTTTTTTCTTTTTTTTTTTTTTACTTTTCATACTTGGATTTCCTTATTCCACCCCCCAACAAAAATTCTTTAATATGGTGAGA